GTGCGTCGGCGACCACGTTGGTGATACCCTTGATATACTTGACGGTGAAGTCATACTGCGTGAGCCGGGATAGCCACCGAACAACTCTTTCGTTATCGTAGTCTTGGAAACTCTTCGTCAGGTGTGTCAATGATTGGTGATCGGTCTGGACCGTGAAGTGCCTGCCGTAAAGGTAATGCCGGCACTTTTTAACTCCCCACCAGAGCGCGTAGGGCTCGTTTTCCCTGACAGGATACTTTTGCTCCCTCTCTGTGAAACGGTGTGAGTAGCAAGCGATTATTTGATGCTTTTTTGATCCAATAGCCTGCTGAGAGAGCATAGCCCCGACTGCGGTGTCAAGGGGCATCGATCGTAAGGAAAGAGTGTTTATCAAAAACAGGGAGCGCGAATACTGGTGATGATCTCAGGTGCCCGATGAGGCGTCGGGCGGCTACATCCTCGTTCTCCGTCTAAATAAACTGCTTCTCCTTCTTAAGAAGATCAGTTAGAGGGGTAGCAGTGCGAGCGAATCCAGGAATAAAGTTGCGATAGTATGACGCGAGCCCGAGAAACTTCTGAACGTTCGTCCGCGTGTACAGCGGTAGTGGCCATCGCTGAATCGCCTCGATCTTAGCAGGATCTGGTTCAACCCCTGCTGCAGAGACACGAAGTCCTACGAAACTGATTGTTTGCATGGAAAACGAACACGTTTGCACTTTCGCGAACCACTGCTTCTCACGTAGTAGTTGCAGCGCCCGCCGGAGGTGCTACAAGTGCTCCTGCACATTTCAGCTGAACACAAGCACATCGTCCATGTATATCACTATCCATCCCTCGGCGATTGGCCCCAGGAAGTCGTAGGTGACTTGCCGCTTCCGGCAGGTGCATTCACGGGGCCAAAGGGCATACAAGTGTACTCCAGCTTGCCAATGCGGGTGTGGAACGCCGTCTTGTGCCTGTCCGCCGGGTGAATAGGGATCTGCCAAAAGGCCTCGGCGAAGTCAAATGCTGAGTATACCGCCTAAGCCTGTAAACGGTCAAGTATTTCGTCAATCCTGGGCATCTGAAACCTCTGCTTCACTGTAATCTTGTTGAGGGGCTTGAAATAGACGCACATGCGCGACCTGGCGTCATTTTTCTTCGCCAGCACGGGATTGTGCACAAAAGCGCTAGTTGACGTCTGAGCCTCGCCCTTTTCCAGAAGTTCGTCTGCCTGTCGCTCAATTTCCTCTTCAAGGTGTGGGGGTCTTCTGTACCTTGGCACGAAGCTTGGGGCTGAGCCATGGAGGAGTTCGTTGCGGTGCATAGAGCGTCCAGCGGGTGGCCTGCCAGCCGGTAGCTCTTTGTTATTGAGTACATCTGAGAACTCTTCCTTCCACTTCTGCCGTTGCTCGGGCGTTTACTGGATAGACTCCCCCAAAACTGCGGTCTTTACCAGACCATCACGACGGAGTGCATGCACATCTCCATTGTTCTCTTCAGTGCCTCTGCACTGCGGGGGAGCCTCGTCGCTCCCCTTTTCTTCGGACACAATCTCCACACGTCTGACCATAGAAGATGCAAGTGCCGTTGGGAGAGCTGTGAGGTGCACTCTCTCATCACTTCCAGGCTGAATGACCTCTATGGCAGCATCAGAGGAATGTCGTGGTGAACGGGTCCAACGTAGAAGTCCCTAGTCATGGGAATGTGCCCTGTTTTGGAACTGATGGAGCATTTTGCGCCCATAGTTTTGCCGATTCGAGTATCCTGTCTGCCATCTGCGAAGCGTAGCCTCAGAGATTGCGCCAATGAGTGGACGGGTAGGCTGCACCTCCTTGCTGCGGCTTCCGATATCAGATTCACTTCGCATCACGTATCGAGTAGGGCCATTAAATCCTGCCCATTTCTTCGTGCTTGTACAATTACTGAATTGACTCGAGGTGGGTCTGTATATGCTGCCGTTATTGCGTGTGTCCCCTTCACTGCGCCGCACGGTGCGTAGGGGCCCGGACGTTTCCCTGCTTGCTCTGTTTGTTCCGTTGGCGGCGCTGTTCGGGATTTGGTTTAACTTGTTTCCTAGCCTTTTTCATAGGCCGGAAATCTCGAAGTACGTGACCCTTTTTACTGCAGAAGAAGCAAGTACGGCGTTCAGACTCTCCCTCTTGCTTTCTGGGTGGTGAGTTCGCCTTCTGCTGACGGTAGCCGCCTCTAGCCACGTGTTTAGCTGGCTTGGTGTTCACAGCCCCAATATCCATTGGTTCCAAATCGGGATCATTCCCATGCCCGCTTCCCTGCTTTTCGGCTAAGGCTATGGATGTGGAGTTTTACATTATGCGGAGGTATTCCATAATGTCAGCGAGTTCCACTTTTTCGCCCCTCAGTGTCCGTGGCCCAGCCAGTTACTGTTTGCCTCACTCCGGGGCACAGCCCCGTTAGAAACCAATTATAGTGGAGCTCTGCATCCACCATAAGACTTCGGCATTTTGTCCGGGACTGGATGCCGAAATGGAGCTGGCTGCCGCTTGCTGGGGTTCCAGACCGTGCGTGGCCCCCCCTCTGTGGCTCATAGTCAACCTCCATTTGCTGAAGAGAACACTGAAATTGGGAGAGATTTTGTCTACGAAGGAAATTGGTTTTATTTCTATATAAATAAACGGACAAAATGAATTTTATTTATTTTTTTCTGCGATCGTTTGTTTTTTCAGTGATGCTTGGTGTCACCCGTGTGGGGATCGGACCCGGGCTCGCACCTTGCCCCGATGAACCTTGCGGTGCTACCAAGTGTAACGCTTGTTCTCTGGCCCTTATCTGGCAAGGGGCAAGCCGCAATGTCGGCAAAGGCTTAAAGCAAGAGTTTCCCAAAAACAGCTGACCTAGGCATCCTGGGTGTAGAGCTCAGGGCCTGGCTGTTGCGGGGAGGAGGCAGCCAGAAAAAGGGTTACAGCGCACCCCGCTGCGGCTGGTAGTGCAAGCCAGCCCCACGCATGCACGTAAGGAAGCTTCAGCGAAGCTTCCTTTGCTGCATGCTTTACCTCTCAACGTACTTATAGAACGTTTGCAAGCGCTTACACGCAACGTATCAAAACCAGGGGGAGGCATCTGCGCTAATTCATGCTACATAAGGGGTTTCTTAGTTGTCTCGACGTTTCCCTTTGCCCTCAAAGTGCACCGGACAAAGTAGAATTGCTGCTGGCGTCTCCAGTGTTAAGATAGCAATCGTTATACTTGGTAGCACGGCATGGTTCATTGGGGCAGGTGCGCCACACGGGCGGCGTCAAGGATTGCTGGAAAAAAACCGACCAACTTAAAATAAAACAAAATAAAATACAACCCATTCCCTTTTGTTGAACGAAATCCCTTTCAATTTCAGCTGTTTCCTTTCAGCAAAATGGAGATTGACTGTGTGTAGGGAACAGCCGGCCTTCGCTGTTACTACGTATGAACCCTAAGCTATTCTGACTAGATGCACACTCTGCATCTAGCTATCTAAACACATGATTCTCGCTGAATCCACTATTAAACGCCAGAAATAACCAAAACGCATTGGAGTTCATATTATCTGTTCTGGAAGAAAACCCAGAATAATAGAACTGTCTCTGACCCTCGCTGAGGGTCGATGCCAGAGTCAGAGCATCAGCCTCATACCCAGCCCCAAGCGGCTGGTGAGCAGTCAGATCCTATTATGCATCTTTTCTATCTAAAACTGTCCTAATTCCTGAGATATTCTATAGTATTTATTTTGTTTCATGATACTAGGCCTCTAGAAGCAACACAAGGGATCCATTGTAGTGCCTGCGCCCTACACTACACTATGGTCCGCTCACAGGCGGGGGGTCGGCGCACGGTTTGGGGCATCACCAAGCAGAAGCCAGCCCTATTTCGGTATCCAAGGCCGGGGAAAATGCATTCTCGCCACAAAAAATCCTGGATGAGTGCCTCCAGCTCTGCCGTCCTACGCAGTATGATGGACGCCGGGACGCAGAGGCCGTTGGGGAGTTCCTTTGTTCCCTAGATTTATACCTTCGCCTACAAAATGCCCCGGAAGAATTCTAATTGCTTTTGGAATCCCCCTTATTAGGAGCGGATGCACGGCGGTAATGGTTGCATTTGAGCAAATGTTCTACCTTTCCGGAGCACATCAGGTCCATGCATGCCTTCCGGGACGCGTTGCGTTGCACGTTTTTCCCGAGGTATGCAAGCGAGCAGGCCATGGAAAAACTGGGAAAAGTTGAGCAAGGGAAGCTGTCGATAGATTGTTACATTGAAAAATATCGCTCCTTTGTGGACCGAAACCCTATGGTGGATTTGGAGTTACTCGATAATTGGTTTAGAGCAGGGCTGTCCTCCGGAGAGAGGCAATCAGTAGCCGGGTGGGCTACGGGAAGGGAAATGAGAGGTGAAAAAGTGGAATTCGGTGGGATGATAGAGTACCTTCGCAGAAGAGATAGAAAAAATGCCACTTCCATAGCCTTAGCAGAAAAGGAAAAGGGACCTGGGGACGATCTTGATTTGGAGCGACTGGATATTGGGGCTGAGGACAGCAGACCACCCAAAAGCGGGCTAGGAGCAGTAACCGACCGCAGACAGTGAACGCAGCACCAAGAAAGCAAGATGGAGATGCCGAACGACGCACTTACTTCTTTTGCAATAAACAGGGCCACGTATTTCGAGGCTTCCGGCCTATAAAAAATGCTACGAAACACTTGAAACCAAATCTCGAACAGCGCCGCAAACAAAGGGAGCAATCAGAGAAAGGCCCCGGCCCCCACGTAACGTGCAGTGCAGTTTTTGGGCCGCATGAGATAACGGCCGCACCCGCAGGTCCACCTCGAGTCTATTCAGTAATTGTACAAGTACGCATAAAAGGGAACGAGTTACTAGCCTTACTCGATACGGGGTGCGAAGTAGTTCTGATATAGGGAGCCGCTGCAAGGAGATGCAGCCTACACTTCTACTCACTGGCTGGATATCTGAGGCTACACTTCGGGTATGGCAGGAAGCATGCTCGCTGCTGTCCTTCATTAAGGCCAGAGATCAGGCCCTATACAAAGGTTCCGTTTATCTGCAGCATATCAGGCCCACGCAATGCCTCCTAGATGCGCTGTCATGGATATTTGTGCTCAGGTCTGCAAGGGAACATGTTTTGGAGCAACTGAGAATGCTTAAGCGAGGAAAGGTACCGTTAGGGCACTACATCCAGAAGTATCAGGTCTGGTGAATAGAAGTTCAGCGGTGGAACCGGAACTGCTTCATGATTGGTTCATAGTATGGCTGTCAGCCAGGAAGAGGCAATCGGTAATAAGCGGGCTGTAAACAGGGAAATGACGGGTGAAAAGGTCGCACTAGTTGATATGATGGAGTATCGTCGAAGAAAATAGAGAAAACGCGCCATTTCCACAGCCTTAGCTGAAAAGGAAGAAAGCGCGTTTGGAAACAACTCAGATTTCGAGCATAGGGTTGTTGGGGCTGTGAAAACGAGACCTTCCCAGGTGGGGATTAGAAGCGGTTACAGACAGCCGCTGGCGAATTCTGCATCCAGACTGTCGGAAGAACGTAACGAGCGACGTATCTGTTTCTTTGTCACGTAATTCGAGCTCCCAGATGCATGAAAAGATCGACAGAACTAGAGAAGCTAGACTCCGAGCAGTTCCGTCTGTGGAGTAGACGAAATGACCGGGGAAAGCTGAGAAACTCCCCTATATCAGGCCAGCTAAGGGGAGTTAGGGGCCGCGGGGCTCATATGGCCTACGGAACTGGACCCCTCTCTCATCAGCGGGCGCACAAAACAATTTCCGCATCTCTGCGTCTTGTGCGCCCAACGACAACTCAGACGCAGAGGAAAGCCCGACTGTGATTTCCAATAAGAATCCCGTCACACGATGGGCTGTTGTGAAACAGTAACAATGGAGGTACTGCCGTCCCAGTAAGCTGATGATGTGTGGGCTCAGCCCTCACTCCCTCTCCTGATATGTCGGCAGTCCAACATGCTAGCGTAATGAATCTCCATTTGGTTCAGTTTTTAACACTGTAGACAGTTGTTAAACGCTGAATTGGCCCTCAATAGCCAGCGTCAAAATCTGGCAGAAAGAAATCCACCAACGAACCTCACACGGAGCAAGCTACATTTACTGCAAGGTAGCTCCACATTCGATCATAACGGATATTGCTTTCGCTGCAAGCACCATCACTGTAGACAATTGCTCAATGCTGGCATGTCCATCATCCTGGACGCAAGTAGGAACATAAGNATAAGACAACTTCAGAGAGACATTCTGACAGAGTTTCCATCGAATGCCCCCTATGTTCTGCAGTTCTTCCTCATATAAGGAGTTGCGATTTATTTCAAGAAAGCGTAAAAGCGAAAGCTTATATTACCCATAAAATGTTCAGTACCGTGTGGCACTTGCAGTGTATCCATGCCCATACAGTACAGAAAACACAACTACAACACCTTGGAATTATGCAGGTCATATTTAGAATCCTTTTTAATATACCTCAGCAGATAACAGCAATACAACTCCTCTGAAAGCTTGCGTTCACAAATCAGCGAAATCCTCCCCTGCACCGACAGCTGCCGACGCTGCTGGTGTTGTACCCTACCATCGGTTTATATACGGGCTTCATTCTCGTGCTGTTTTTTTGCGAATATTTGGGTCGTTGATTCTGATTATTTTTGGTTATGGAGAACATGAATTAGGGGGGCCTCTCGCAATGTCTGCAGTTGAGGGGTTTGCTGTTTCCGGGGTATTTCAGAGCGTCGATGCTGCCACTATCATCATCAAAACAAAGAGACGAGAGTTGTTGCAGTTTCTTCGCTAGTTGTTTTTGTTTTGTAGACTCAATGAGTCTACTGATTCCGTTTGATTCAGCAACGAGAGTACCTGCGGGGAGCACGACGAATGCTGCTCCGTCTTACCCTGCTTTTGTTTTGTTTTCTTGCACTGTCTGATAAAGACGTTGCAGCTATTACCACCACCTCTCTGCTCCTCGACATGGATACGGAGTCGGTGGGTCTGGCGTCAGCCAGCGGCAGCGGGCTCTCCTCTGTGGTGCTGCCGGAGAGCGCCGAGGATAGAGACTCGTTGTTTTCTGAATCAGTTTTCACACACGAAACCTCTCCGTTGTATGCTGATCCTGAACTTTTGGTTTCGGAATTTGCAGCGCTTGAAGGGGAAACTGAAGCCGTCAACGCTGAAGCAGCACTTCACCCTCCCCCAGCCCACACCAGCACATTCAATAGACAGGGTTTCTTGAGCTCAGCTGCTCTTTTTTTCGCAGTTTGTTTGGTGCTCCTCACTGTACGT